TTCGAAGAAAAAAGTGCTCGAGGTCACGAGGCGTGGTAGTTTCTTTGCCCTGTCATCTCTCCCTGCTTAGCTTCCAGCGCTTTCGTCCGGACGAGGGAAGAGATAATGCAATTGCAGCATGAAACAAACCTTTGTAACTCCACTCACCCTGGACGGATTCTTAAAATTTTTGCGGCGTTAAATTCGTGAGGCAGTAAGCTCTTCTGGTGAATTCATTCCATGGTTACTTGAAAAAGTGTTTCAGGGCCCCTTTAATGCATTTCGTTCGACAGGTGTCACGACGAAAACGAGCCCATTCGGCGATAATAGCGCTCGCTGGTCTATTCTACTGTGTGCATGTTTGTGTGCGTGCGTGAGTATGCAACAAAACATATGAATAAGTATGCACTTAGTGGTCAAAACGTGCACTAGGGGCCGAATTTTGCTATCGCGTTCAACTCTTAAAGGTGATGCTTAAGGGTCTCCCAATTTTTTATGGGGTGCTGTATTGAACACTCAGTTACCCTTAACTGCACAAGTATACCCTTCAACCAAAGCAGGCCACCACTGAGCCTGTCAGCATATGGTACGTTAAACATCAAGGTAAAACACGAATTGTTCGGCTTGGGCGTCACCACGAAACACGTGAAAGGGCTAGTAGAGCAGTGGCAACAAAAAAAAAAAAGTCCGCGAAATTTTGAGGCTATACATTGGTGCGATCTGAAGGATCCTATGACATTGCATTGTGTTCCATTTGTAATTAGCTATTTGACGAATCACTTTCATTTCTATACAAGTTTGAGAATTTTCGTTGCTGTATACACCTTCTTTATATGCAGGGGCGCTGACGGATACTGCCTCCTACGATGTCCCAAGGGCCTTCAATAGCTACGACTTTCTTTAGAAGGCACCAATAAAAAAGTGGGCAGGATATATTTATGCCACGTCAAGAAAGTCTTCCATGCTTCTGTTCATTCACGAAATCACTTTAAGTAGAAAAGCACAAGAACAGCGCTCTAACTGGGCATGCTGTACGCTACGAAAAGACGGGAGCCGCTTAATCCTATCGCTTAGTTCGATTCATATTTACACACGCAATACTTTTTTTTTGCATTTTCATGTGCGTTGCCACTTACACGTGTAAAACCATGATATGGCTCAGGTCCGTTTCGGTGGAACAGTAGTTATGGTGCTTGGTTGCTTACCTGAAGGTCGTATAGGTTAGATCCCGTCCACGTTCGTCGCATTTCGATACAGACAAGATGGAGAGGACCGTGAACTGTGCCATATCCATGCACGCTAAGGAACACCAAATGCTCAAAATTTCCGGAGCCCTTCACTACGGCGTCCCTCAGCACCACCACAGTGTTTGGGGAAACATCGCGATTGTTTCAGACGGTTTTCCCAAGATTACACGCACGTTGCGTAAAGCCGAGTTTATTCTTGATATAACACGAGCACCAGTGATAACGCTGGAAGGTTCGATCGGGCGTGTATGCGTTTCATGCACCATCTAATTGCCGAGGACTGTGATTACCACTATCAGTGTACACCTTGCATTGATTGGACTTTGACCTTTCGTTTTCTGGCTACGCGCTCATCCGCAGAAGAGCCGTCTCAACAGCCAGACTTCCGCCTTCTTCACCACTACGACCACGTGACAGTACGTCCTGAGCCAAAAAAAAAAAAGATGTTAAATGCGAAGCGTTTCTTTGCGTACTCAAAGCACTCTATCTATCTATCTATCTATCTATCTATCTATCTATCTATCCATCCATCTATCCATCCATCTATCCATCCATCTATCCATCCATCTATCCATCCATCTATCCATCCATCTATCCATCCATATCTATCCATCTATCTATCTAACCGCGTACGTCTGGGTGCTCTCGTGATCACACCCTTGACTTGGCGTGAACCAAAAGTAGTGTGGGTGGTTACGATGGTTTGACGAATATATGATGCATTCGTCCGGTCAACGCTGCCTATTCGGCAGATTTTTCTTAACGCTAAAGCGTTAAAGTTACCCATGTGTGTTCTCGTCGTTCCTGGGTGGATGTAAAATGTTGATCACCTGTGGCGCATATCAGCATACCAGAGGCACATACGCGCGGGCGGGTATGTGCCACTGCTTGGCGGAAAGTGTCTGACGACGTACCACGACGGTACTGTGAAATTATTCATGCCTTGGCACACGCGCCGCAATTGTGCGCCGCCGCTGGTGTCCATACCAAACGACTATGGCGCGAAATAAAACGAAACGAAGTAAGCGAAGAACACCAAGAAAACAATGGGATTCGAACACGAGCCTCCTGCGTGCCAGCCCAGTATTCTACGACAGGGTCAATCAGGTGCTCGAGACTCCGTTGCAAACTGGCCTTAGACAGGCTTGACGCCAGAAAAGAAATCGCGTTGATATGGGCGTTTTCGAACAGCAACGAAACAACCAGGCGTCAAACAATGCGTATTGCTTAACGAGTGGGTCATGGAACGTTCCAACCCATTACAAGACTTTCAGGCTTGATTCATCTTCGCCATGTAGCGGGTACCAGGCTTCTCCGAAGAATGACGAAGGAAAACAAAGCATTGCTCGATGGCCCGATAGTATCCGTAATTCCACAAGTAGAATAAATATAACTGTCGTCAGGTATAAAAAATGCGCAATTTTCACAGATATGATAGAAACAATAACTACATGGACAGAATATGCCCCGTATATAATGTTGCGGCAATAGTAGGTTGCCCGTCATCAGTTAAAAATGTGACAGTAGCCAATCTTTCAGCGAATTTTCTGCCTAAGTGCGATCTCCTATTACGTCTCTAGATATATTTCACTGTATTCGTTAGAGCGATTATCAAGACAGTGTGATTGGGGCCAAGTCACCTCGCGACTGAACATAAGCATATTCATTGAGCGTCAAAAAAAGTCAACAAAAGTACCTGCGCTTGGCGTTCTTAATCCTGGCTCTGTCTGAAAGTCAAAAAAAAAATAACTCTATAGGCTTGCGGTCACAGTGAAAGCTGCATGATCGAGCCTTCCTAGAGTTTGTTGTAACTTGTTAACTATCTTGGAGTGACTACTGCAAGTTGGTTGGTTGATTGTTCTTGAAGTATATCTACAAGATACCCACTCAACCGAAAATTTTAATTATTGTGAAGCAGGGAGGCTCGCACTGAGCCATTATTTGTCATTCTGCAGACAATAGAGGTACCTATGGCACGTCTGCAAGAAATTATGTGCACTATGTTGCTGGCGACGACGAAGACTTCTGGATGACCCCTTTGTAATGGTAGGAGAAGAATTCTCTACCTATTCGTTGTGAACGTCACATTGTGATGCAACAATATTGCCGATCACAAGTGAGTTTTTTCTTCGTCGTCATTTCTACTGACCTACATATAGCACACGTTGTTGCTAATGATGATATAATGATGATGACGCCTTAATTTAAATATAGCTCATACTCACTCACGGGGATCGGCCAAGAACTGATTACACGAGTTAGACATTCTCAGTATTGAATATTCATAATTGTATTATCGCCTTCTTGCCGCAAGCACGTGACAATATGTTGATGACGTTACTATATAACGTCATCATGACGCCACTACTATGGCGCGCAACATTCGCTTCTCCAATTCGCGTTGTGCTAGGTAACGGTAATTTTTAACATAAAAGTGTTTTATACGGTGCTCCACCAAAAATTGACTCGCGTCATTCCCATCACAGAAGTTATTCACACACTCTGCCCACTTGGGCAGCGCTTGTTATCAAGGCGAGGTGACTTTGAAAACGGACTCCATGGAAGGATCTCGCTTTCTCAGGCACACACAAACAAGTGGAACACGTAGTGCGTAAAATACACAGGGTATCCTAGGTAACTTTAGCCAGAGTTTGAAAATATTCCGGCACACGCAATTGCGATGTGACCAAATGCATGTTACGAACGACCGCTTGCCCGATTGTGCTGTCTCGACAGGGCCGCAACGATGGTGGTGGCTTTACGATGAACACGTTTTGCTGCCGGCCACAAAAACAATAACCTCTGTGACTAACCTCATGAACCGGTGTGCGGGAAGCCTCATGAACCGGTGTGCGGGAAGCCTCATGAACCGGTGTGCGGCAATAACCTCATGAACCGGTGTGCGGGAAGCCTCATGAACCGGTGTGCGGGAATCCTCATGAACCGGTGTGCGGCAATAACCTCATGAATCGGTGTGCGGGAAGCGTGTAGTTCGTACGCGGAACGTTAGGGACCACTAGAATCATCGTGCGCACTGATGCGCGAGCGGGTTTGTCACGTGGTATTTTTTTTATTTCGCGGGCATTTGTTATTAGTAAAAAAAAAACACTAATGCTTAACAGATAAAAAGTTCAAAACAATCTATTCGGACGTTTTGCAAACCGATCTACATCTTTCTCATTTAATTTTGTATTCATCTTCGTTCCTACAGAAGTTATTTAATAAACAGATCTAATTAAACATTATTTGAGATCACAAAAAATAGACAAACTCCAGGAAACGGTGAGGAACATGCATTTGGTCGCGTCGTAATTGCGCGTGCCAACATATTTTTAAACTCTGGCTAAGGTTACCTCGGACACCCTGTACTATATGTAACACATGTTATTTAATACCGTGAAACGCATGCTGTACACATGAAAAACCAGAGCCTTAGCGAGCCAAACAAAAATATTTCACACTTCTCGCAAAGAAAAAAAAACAAAATATTTCACATTTCTTCTTTAAGAAAGGGAAACAAGACAACCACCTGTTTGTAGCACAGAGCCACAAGGAAATCCATATGGATTTCCTTGTGGCTTTATGCTACAAATGGGTGGTTGTATTCTTTGCCTATCTTGGGGCCGTTCCACGCGCTTCCCGCACAGCCTCAACGCACGTGCCGGAACCCTTCCCGCACGCGAGCGGGGGACAAATAAGCCAATTGGCGACGCTCTTTCACCCTCCGCAGCGTCGTCAATTGGCTTATTGCGTGCGGTAGGGGTCCCAGCACGTGCGTTGCGGCTGTGCGGGAAGCGCGTGGAACGGCTCTAAACCCTTCCGCCACATTGCGGCTTTCCGCAGAGCTCATTTGCAATATTCATCATCTTTGTTTGTTATTCAAATGTATGGGCTCTCAGTCTTCCAAGTATTTCAGTGCCCAAAGCGCATGTGCGTTCTTTTGTTTAAGTAGGTATTGTTAGATCTGCACGTACGCTATACTTAAACTCTACAGAAATATTGTGTTTCTTATTATATTGCTTAAGCGCTTTAGACGCACAGCGCATTGACCATCCCGCATGTCACATACCTTCGAACATACATAATATGAATGAGCTGATGGATTGACGTAGTGAATTAGCGTGGCCACCTATCGGCGTTTCACACGGCTTGCGCCGCGAAGTCATCGAACTCCTTCTTCACACGTTGTAGGAGATGCGGATCACACAGTAAGTCGAAGGCTGTGAGCGCTAGCATCTTCCCAACAAGCACAGCCGTTTCCTGGGCCGCCTTCGTCCCGGACACGCGCCAAAACTCTCTCGTGTGGTTGAAACCGGTTGAATCGATGCGGTACACGGGATGGATGGTGGGCAGCTTGTGAGACACATTACCAGCGTCGGAGGTGGAACCTGTCGTCATTGGAACGTCGATGAAAGGCATTCCTGCAAAACGTATATGCACGCGGAAAAAAGTTAGAAATCAATCAACCGATCAATCGATCAATAGATTGATTAGCTTATTAATAAACATAAAAATGGCATATCCCACGTACAGTAGCAATAATAATATGCGAAACACGAATGAGAAATCTATATGTCACTTTAAAATCAGCACAACGTCACAAGATGGAGGTAAATGATGCCGTACATGACTTCCGTGTCGTGATCATCATGTTTGGATGTGTCGTTTACCTTCGTCATCTATTCACGTCACGTGATAGCAAATTTAGTTTACGTAAAGCTAGCGAAACGGCCGCGAGCATGCTATGAGCTGGTATGTTGTCATGTTATTGTATACATGACAAGCATGTCATAATTATCATGTTTTCACCAATCGTATATTTCGTTGTCCATTGGCGTCACGTAACACCACATTTGGTATACACCCATTCCATGTTTGTAAACACAGGTAGGCCGATGTCGACATTAAGGGTAAAATTATAGCGACGTCCGCACGTGACTTCCGCCATAAGCGCTGAGGGCTGCAATGTGTGCCAACAAAACGACGTTGTGAGACGCCATAAGCGTTGTGAAAGCCATAAGCGCTGAGGGCTGCCATGTGCGCCAACAAACAAAACTAAGTTGTGAGACGTGACTCACATCCAACCGCGACGCAGCTCGTCGGCATACCGTTTTTTTTTTCTCGTTCCTTGACTGAGAACACCACATGCACCATTGAAAACCCAGCAGGAACTGCGGTAGCCAGAGCGTCTTTTGTCTACCAAAACAGCGCCACTGCATTTTCGTGACGTAAGTCCGGTGGAATTTGTCTATATGTGGAGCTAGCAAAACGGCCGCGAGCGCATCATGAAGGGCCCAATATACTCCAATGTAGCGTTGACACACGCGCACACTGGGCACAGCGACGCAACGCTAGCAAAACGCGAGCACTCTATAATCTCACGCCAGGCGCGACCAGCGTCCGTCAGCGCGGCCCGACGGAAACCGACGCGAAATGCGACATGCTGCGTTTCGCCCCGATGCGTTACCCAGACAACACTGCGTCTCCCTCTTTTCGTGACGGAGGGACGCCGGGCGCGCTGAAACGCGCATGCGTCAAAGCAACGCAGCGCGGCGCTCGCCTGCGAGTATATGGCAGGACCGGCGCCTGGCGTGGCAACGCTGGCGTGACGCGATGAAATGAACGCCGGCGATCATGCGCACCGCGTCATGTCGAAATGTATTGGCGGCTTGACTGTGGCATGTAGTCATATTCTCACATGACACGCATCTCATGATTATCATGTTTGCACCGGTCACATACCGTCGTCATTCATTGCCGTAATACCACGTAATACCAAATTTGGCATATGTGAAGCTAGCGAAACGGCCGCGAGCGGATCATCAGTGTGGCACGTAGTCATGTTGTTACACGGCATGCATGTCGTGATTATCGTGTTTGGATGTGTCTTTTACCTATGTCATCCGTTCGCGTGCCGTAATACCGAGTTTGGTACATGTGAAGCTAGCGAAACGGCCGCGAGCGGATCATCAGTGTGGCACGTAGTCATGTTGTTACACGGCATGCATGTCGTGATTATCGTGTTTGGATGTGTCTTTTACCTATGTCATCCGTTCGCGTGCCGTAATACCGAGTTTGGTACATGTGAAGCTAGCGGAAGGACTGCGAGCGCATCATGAGTGTAGCATGTAGTCATGTTGTCACATGACATGCATCTCATGTTTATCATGTTTGCACCAGTATCATACCTTCATCATCCATTCACGCCCCGTAATACCAACTTCGGAATCAGTAAGGCTAGTGAAACGGTCGCCAGCGCATCATGAGCATGACA